CGAACGACAAAATCGCCCTGTTTCCCCTACATCACCTGACTTAAATAATTCAACAGCTGATTCACAAGATAGCTTATCGAATTTCTCATCTCCTAGTTTTTTGAATTCTCATAAAATTTCTTCTCAGAATCCAAATGAGAAAATCTCTCCCAACGAAATCATCGAACATGTCAGTAATCACAACTCAGTTGAAACAGATTCTTGCTTTTCGGAGAATACTTCTCTGAAAGAAAACAGTGTAGATTTAAATCAAAAACAAGATTATGTGAGTCTTTATATATATATATATATATCACTTGTATGAAGTTTAGTTTTTGTCTGCCGCACAATTTTTATTTTCATTTTATTCAATTGCATTCCGGGTGGAACATGGGGCTTGAATAATGGAACTTTCAAGTTGCAGTATTAGTAGTGTTTATTTTTACGGGGTGAGGCTCCTAACCCTACGCGCCCTAGCCTTCCCTCTTTTCCAGGCTTACTACCGGCTAAGCGAGGTATTGGAGTAAATCAGCTGGGGATGGAACCCTGGACCATTTGAGTAGTGGTGGGTGAGTATTCTACCACTGAGTCACCGATGTACGTCATATATAATTACTTCAGTTTTTAACCGAATACATTTCAGCGACGTAGTTCACGTTTTTAAATTTGTCACTATATGGGCTGTTGTGTTGATAATTTACTTGTCAAGTTCCTGCAAAAGTGACTCTTCTATTTCTTTATTTCTTGTAGTATTTAAATACCTGCTATTTCACGACATTTTTGCTAAATTGAAGTAGTATACTCGTAATATATAAGTAACGCTACAGTTCATAAAATAACTATTTCTGCTTTTAAAGTGAATGGCAATATATTTTGAAACAAATTAATGTTCAGCAGACCATATGCTTTCAAATGGTGGCTTCATTTGCATATTAAGACAGCGTATAAAAACGTGCTCAAGGCAATCAGATACTCAAATAACAGGTTGGTTATTGATGTGCTTATAAGTTGCAACAACAAGAGAACATTTTGATAAGTTAAATAATAGGAGTCATATAATTGCAGTCTACAGTTGTTGTGGTCAAACTGAAGAGAGCTGCTTGTTGCAGTCGAATATTGCATTTATTGTGAAAATAGGTATTTCCATTTTAAAATATGAACACATGAACTATGGGCACTGGATTCGAGCTTCGGTAGAAACATCATCACTCACTGCGGAATGCAGGTACATCCAGATGACGAGTCCCAGATGGGACGAAATGCGCATCCTGGATTCCCCTGCTAGTCATCATCCATCAAATTAACCTCTAATTACACGCCCAGACATCGTCTAAGCATTTGCACAAGAAGCCGACGTATCAACCTGAGACCGAGCACTTCGGTTCAGTCAATGATGGGAAAATCTAAAATTCAATTAAATATGAACACTTTCAAATGGCGTTCAAAGATCAAATTCATTACTGCTAAATTAACTTTGATGAGTAACTCAGTCTGTTTTTCGCATCTGTATTTAGTGAATCCTTACTCAACAGTAGTAGTGTTCTTCGAATTTGATGTGTTCGTACTTCAACATCGCTTCTGTGCATTTATTTTAGGTCATTTCCCTAGTATAATATCCATATACTGTGGCGTCAGTTCGTGACAGTGTAGTTTCTTTTTTTAGTTCATATTTCTTGATCAGTGCTTAAAAGCTCAGCAAATAAATATTTTACTCCTGAATCAAAACATTTTATTCCTATTCTTACATAAAATAGCGTTTATTAATACACAATTGAGAATATCCTGTCTGTAAACTTGTTCATTTGTTTTATTTATTTTTCTAAAGGTTTCAAAACTGTCAAAAACTAACTTTAAATTTAAATCATTAAAGTCAAAGACGTTAGGCAAAACTCGAGCACCACCTGTACAGTCAACAAATTTGGATTCATTTTTCCAGAAATGGAAATTTAAGCGATCCAGTACATGAAATTTTTTGTCTCTGTGTACTACCGCTTGTACATAATGACTTAACATATCTGTATTTATATTTTTGTCTTTATAGTTGATACTATTCCTACTTTTGACTTCCATATCAGATAACATATAATTAGCTACTTTATAATCTGTCTATTTCTTCTCCATTTTCTTTTAAACTGAGCCAATAACTTATGCCTTATTGATTTCTTCTACTTTTGAATGTTATTTTTAAGGTCTGCAAATGTATTTTACTTTTATTCTTGCAGTCTTATCACATAACATCTATTTAATAAATGATATATATACAGTCTTGAAAGAAAATTGTTTTCACTGGATTATTATTCCCATGGGGGTTCCTAGTGGGACATGAGGCTCTAGCAGCACATCTCCATTTCACTGTGCACTCTTCTTTTACCTAGCTACACGATTGCTCATAACCCTTCACTTTCACTTCCCACATAATCTCGTCTATATAACCCTCAGATGCCCAACTCGTCACTTCTCATTCAGGTTACACTCGAGGGTGTGACGTATAAAATGTCACTCAACTGTCGTCTCTTCAGCGCCGTATGTCTAATCCATCTTCACTTCCTTCTGCATATTTGGTTAGGACATGTGTTACGTATGCCTAGTCATTGCCTTCCTCGACAATGGGCAATGTTAGCTGATATAGGGCCAGGCTGGAAAAGAGCTAGCGGCGGTCAAACGAAAACATGACACCAGTCAATGAAATCTACAGCAGTTAGTCTAAGCCACGTAGGAAGATGTAGACTTCCTGGTTGGGGTCCTCGGGACGGTAAAAACCAATGGTTGGAAACAATTGGTGACATGGCTCAAAATCGTTCTTAGTGGTGCAGATGCATCCACTCCTTGTGACTTATGATTTCCAATTAAACTGTTTTGTTCTTCGTTGTTACTATTCCTTTGTCTCACACCTCTGTTTACTGTCTCTAAAATGCATTTCTCCTACTTTCTTCTCTTGCTTCGTGTGCTACATGGAGTGTAGCGACTTGAACTGCCACACATATGTGCAAAGTTCTATGTCGAAAACCGACCGACCGCATATTTGTTGGGCGACAGGTTATAGGCTGGTTCGTTGCTTGAGTTTCTTGTTGCTTGTTTCCTTTCTAGTTATCGAATCTTCACGGTCGAGGCAGCGAAGGGATGTCTTGATGAAAGTTTACAGTAGGCTAATGAAAATACTTTTCGTGACGCGCGTGCGCGCGCCAAGTCTCTGCAACATACATATAGAAGCACTCATTTGACACTAATGTTAAAAATTTGGATCTTGTTGCTTACACTGAATGCAGTAGATTTCAACACATTGATTTCAGAGTAATGAAGTCTTTCTTGCTTTTCTGATCGATCCTGCCTTTGATATACTCATCTGCAGCTGAGATGGCACTGCCCGTCGCCGGGTAAGTAAATGAGGTGACTTCCCTTAGATTTTTCCTGTTGACAGGGATTAGCACTTGTGTCTTACTGATATAAGAATAAAACTTGTGCACTGTGGTAGAGTATAATTCCATTATTGGGTAAAATTTAATTTGATAAAGTCTCACAGTGTTATACAGTAATACTTAATATACAGTAATCGCTTGATTTGATTGGTATGGAGAATTATGGAATTATATAAACCATGTTAGAAAGTTGTGTGAGTACCTTGATATGATTATTATGAGCAATAAATTGTACTCGAAACGTCATCAGTAAATATTACTACTGAATAACACTGTGAGACTTTATCAAAATAAATTTTACCCATAATGGAACTTGTTGGTTAGGCATCTTCATTACCTCTGTGTTCATTTGAAGTCCTGTCTTCCCCACTTCTTCTTTTGTATCGGATTAAATGCAGATATTTGTATGCACGAGTCTGAAGATCATATTTCTTATGTGATTTCTAATGATAATAACTTGTTGGTTTGATACTATTAGAGAATATGATTTTCAGTTAGTTCCAAGGAAACAGATATGTGAACTGTAACTACTATGAATCATAGATATTCGTGCTGTAGTCTAGTTCTTATTTACATGAGTGCTAATCTGTTTGAATTTGACAATATTATTGTTATCTTGTAACAAGTGTTTTAATGATGATTTACTTAAGTACTAATTTTTACGAGTTGATCACGGACTGATATCAGTTAGAGAACCATTGAAAACCAGGGAGTACTGGACAGCTGCTGTTTCATCCTAGTTTGGGAATCATCGGCAGTACGCACCCACTGGGATTCGAACCCAGGACCTTCCGGTTACAAGGCAAGCTAGCTCGTATACCATTCAGCCACTGGGACCCGATTCAATGGCTCATGAATTCTAACTTCTACCGATTCGTGATTTATCGCGACCCCAATCATTGTCGTTGGTGGGACATCCATCCATCCGTGATCAACTCGTAAAAACATAACTAACCCTTACAAACCAAACTATAGAAAATTAATCTGATGCTCGCTATTAACTTGCTACAGGATGGAGATTCCTGGAGTTCTAGTGAGAAGTCGTGACCAGTGAGGTACAATTAGATGTCACGTGTGTGAATGGATGTCCCACCAACGACAATGATTGGGGTCGCGATAAATCACGAATCGGTAGAAGTTAGAATTCATGAGCCATTGAATCGGGTCCCAGTGGCTGAATGGTATACGAGCTAGCTTGCCTTGTAACCGGAAGGTCCTGGGTTCGAATCCCAGTGGGTGCGTACTGCCGATGATTCCCAAACTAGGATGAAACAGCAGCTGTCCAGTACTCCCTGGTTTTCAATGGTTCTCTAACTGATATCAGTCCGTGATCAACTCGTAAAAACATAACTAACCCTTACAAAGCAAACTATAGAAAATAATTACAGTAGACGTAGGTTTTAAGATTTTGGGTACTATTTCACTGTGTATTCATTTTTTTAGTATACACAATCATGAATTCTATTAATCAAATATGCATAATTTAATATCATTAGTCTTTATTAATCAATAATTACACACATTGCAAAGAGTTTCAACACATTGACAAATATTTTTTTATCAGAAGAGTGAAAAAAAGCGTTGATTGTATATACTAAATATTCCTCAAAATAAATCATTGATATGAATAAATTGACAATGTCTCAAGACTGCATTGTATCCCAAATGTGTCATTTGACAAGTTAATGCGTTATTGAAAAAGTTGGATTCTGGCACCAAGAAGTCAGGATTGAATGAAACCTATAAAATGTTAAAAGAATGCACTGACTAGTAATTAATCTGTGAAAAAAATTTGATTAAAGTATCTATTCAACTGAAATAAAGTAAATAAGAGTAGTTGGAATTACTTACTATCCAATCTTCATTTTATTTATTAGTAGGAATATGTTAAAGGATCCTCATAGCCTTAATTCGCCAGCTTTCAAATCTTGCTTCTGTTTATTCAATGTAGACAGTATCATAAATCACGTATATCGAATAGCTTAATACATAAGTAGTATCAGGTATTCAAGTTGCATGTTGAACTATTTTATAGAAGATTTGAATGATTTTGTTAACAAGTATATAAGTGTTACGTAAGTCAGGGGTAAGAATGTCATTAGGATTTGAATAACTAGTCACATAAGAGACTTGCCATTCCGTTTACATTTTCATGTATAGTTGTGCTTATCGCTGTAATGATGATTTTCCAAGTGTCAATTGCTTTAAGTTTTTCTATATTTTTACCTCATCACACAGTTATTACACTAGACGAATGTGTTTCCTACTATCAAACACCAATGTTAAGTCTGTGCCAGTAATATATGTTTCAGAGATTTGGTACGTCATCAACAGCTGCCTTCACTCAATGCTGAACAAGGAACTCGAGCAACGAACTAACGAAGAATTTACTGCCTAAAAATATGCAAAAGCAATTTGAAGTGGATTGGACATACATAGAGAAGACAGTTGAGTGAAATCATGCGCCAGGCTCTCGAGTGGAAGGACAATGTGAAACGTCGAAATGAGTGAATGTCTGAGGTGGGTATGGAGGAGGAAATGCGAGCTTGTGGATAATCATAGAGCCAGTTTATAAAGACAGCAGAGAATATAGTGAAACGAAGATATGCCTCTGAAGCCGTATGTCCAAGTCATGGACAATAACATAGTGCATTGGAATGTTAGTCAAAACTATTGAGTACAGAGTAAAATGAAAAATAAACTACCAAATTCTGCCTATCTACACTCACGTACATTTCACTGCAAAATACCATGGCATCTTATTAGAAAGTTTAAAATAAGCCTGAGTGAAAAAGGTTTGGTAGCTTCTACTTAGTATAATGTTGCTATACATTCTTTATTTAACATCCAATGGAGTTTTATTCGGACACCTGAATACAGTCTGATTGTTAGATTACTTCATGAAAAATTCCCATTCGAACATTAATAGACAGAAGACAAGTAGTTCAGCGAAGAGTCTCTTTTCGGCGAATTCATTTTCATAGCTGTACAATCGCAAATATATATGGTTGTTTTGTATGTGTGTGTACATTAAATTTGTCAAACGAAAATACAATTAGTAAGTTCAGATGAATTGGATGTTGATATAAGAGGGTAGTAACAAAAGTGATGAGTTGTCACAAACGATTGTTAAAGAAGAGTTACGTAATAACATGAATAGTTTGATGAAAGAGTTGTACTCAGGGTGTACATGGAAACAAAATATACGGAATTACACAAGGGTTTTAAGTAGAAAAATAAGCATACAAACAAAAGTTAAGTCAAATCAACAGAGTTGTTACCATGGGAGTAAAAGTGGTTGAATAATTTTCTTTTGTATGCACAGTTCTGGTTCCTCTAGCTTAATGGCTAGGGCTTCTGCGATGCAAAGAAGACGGAATCGTACTGTCTTTGGAAGGTTGTTCTTCACTTCGTAGATTACTTTGAAGGAGGCGTTTGTTGAGATGGAATGACCAGTGTTGATGAGGTGTTCTATTATTGCACTCCTTATGCAGCCATTACTTCCTTTCTGCAGCCACGCTGGATAGTGTTCTTTGACCCTTTTTGACAGGATACGCGTTGAACGACCGATGTACCTGGCTCCACAGCAACAGGTGAACTGATATATACACATAGAAGTGGTCAGGTGCGGGATCTTGTCTTTTGGGCTTCTGCAGATCAGCGGGCGACTAGAGAACACTACTCTCAATGTTGCCGCAAAGAAAGTTCTTAAAGAGGTGGAGATTCTCCTTCTAAGGACGTCACTGAGTAGGTTTCCTTTGAAGTCGAGGTTCATATAAAGTATCTTTTTTGGCACGGATGCTGTCTCTTGCTTTTGGATTTTCTGTTTGATGTTTTTCTCTACGAATCTTGATGGGTAACCGTTTTGTATGAAGGTTTCTTTCAGGAAGATTACTCTGTAGTTTCTTCTGACACCTGAAATCCTTAGATTACAAGTTGTAATCTTAATGAAAACAGAAATCTATCCGCTGACTTTACTATGATATTAAATTAGAAGTACTACATAATGAATAAAGCGTTTTGTATAAGCTTATTTCAATTGTCTTAATTTGTTAGAAAAGATAATTATTTAACCATCAATAAGAAATTAAACCTACCTGAAAGATATATTGTCCTGGAGGTATATCAGTAATATCAACCCATTGACAATCATAGTCATGTAAGTACATGTCTTTACATCCCGGACTTATACCTAAAAACAAAAATGCGTTAAAAAGTTCAACACTGGTTATCTATGCAATCTATTTCAACTTCCTTCACCTATGACATGAACATAATTTGTGACTTTTTTCAAATGGCTTAAGTAATTTACACAACATTTGTGTTGCCATATTCTCTTTCTAGTGTGGTAGATTGAAATGAGTGTAGCTTTTAATTACTTAAATAGCATTAATTAACTTTTTGAAAATCTAGTTTTTTTGTGAGGCGTATATTTTTACCATATACATATGCAATTTACAAAAACAGAATTATTTTCTTTCAAAATGAAGTACTTTCAGTAATGTGTACCGCTCAGCAGTTCTCTCAGTCCTCCTTTATTACTGTGAGACGTGGTCATTGAAAGTGGAAGACATGGAAAGGCTAGCTGTCTTTGATCATAGGTGTCTCCCTTCTGTCGTCCGTGTTAGGTGGCAATATTGAGGTTATACATAGATCGAGTGCTAGGTAGACGTGAGGGGAAATCAGTCGATGAGGTTGTGAGGCTACATCGATTGAGATGGTTAGGACATGTGTTGCGCCTGTTGATTCATCGATCGCCTTCTTCCACGGGTAATGTTAGTTGACACGGAATCAGGTTGCCAAGAGAAAAAGCTAGCGGTGGCGAAACCAAAAGATGGCTTCATCAGTCAGTGAAATCTATTACAGTTAATTCAAGCCAGTCACGTATGTAGGTGAAGACTTCCTGACTGTTGTGAGTCCTCGGGATAGTAAAAACCGCTGGTTGGAGACAATTGGTGATATGTCTCGAAGCTGTTCTCACTGGCACAGATGCATTCACTCTCCGTGATGTACCATATCCAGAAAATCCCTGTTGTTTTTGTATGTTACTGTTGTTTTCTCACATTTCTGTTTATCATTAGTCTTCCGAATTTCTTTTCTTTTGTCTTCTTTTCTGTGCATCATGGGTGTGGCAACTCGAACTGTTGCATTTGCGTGCAAAGTTCTATGTTGAAACCAGTCAGTCTATAACTTTCAATCATGCCCTAGTAACAGAAAAAAGCGCTTATATTTTAACACATTGTTATGCGCATATGCACCTATCTCACAGATTATTAATTTGTTGTTTCAAGAGACATATGCTAATCGAGTTTGGCATGATATATTACTAATTCAAACTAATTAACTGACTACCTTGTGTTCCTTTGCTGTCAACTATATTGCTACAGCGAAATTTAGGTGCTATTCCAGATTTGCACAAATTGTCTTCCAAACAGAAGCTTGATTTATGTCCAACTGCGACTAACCTTTTCTCTGTATCTACAACTTCATAACGTGAAAATACCTTCATACTATGATAATGCCTGTGAAATAAATCAGAAAAGAATATTTGACTGTTAAGAGATAAATAAAAACCCTGCTTTTCAGAGAAAAGCCTTATAGCATACTCAAATGAGATATTTTCTAAGAGATCATCAGTGTACTCACAAGCATGTAAAATATCATAAACTTCAGATATATCCTAAATTTCAGTTAAGAGAACCTTACAGCTTCCCAATAAAACACTTAGAAACGGTGGAGTTGTGTAATTTAGATTTTTGAATAAGGCAATATGGCGATAAGTATTCATGTAACTATATGTTCTTCATTATCATTGGAACTTATCTTAATTTAGAGACTAAAATTGCTAGTTATACCCAACATATAACTGAAAAAGCTTACCAACTTAAAATTGAGTGGATCTCAATTACATTAAAAGAGGTTTTCACATACTCAGTCGCACGTTCAATAAGTTATCAACATGCCTTTCAATATATTCGATAATCATGGTAACAAGTAGGTTGCATTTGAAATAACATTCACTAGGTATGTTAAGCAACTTCAGGTTTTTCGCACCGACTCCACTGAGTGCTATATTGAAGTTGGTCAACAGCAAAACCTGGAATTGGGGCTTTTGTGGTCACCATCAGTTTGGAATACGCATCCTTAGCAAAAACTGACTGAGTTTTTTTGACATATATTCTAACCCACGTGATCTATATAATAATTCACTCTGGTTTTTTAGCCTGCCATGTTGTTACGTAACAGAACTCAGAAAAGAAATGCTTCTCAGTTTGCTTCAACCGAAATGTTGAAGTAATTAACCGATTTGCACAGCTATATATAAATATGAATTTTTAGATACTTCACTAGTTGCTTGAAAGTTAATGAGTAGCATTAGAGAAAAAGGTGATTACACTCTTCAATTTCTATAATAGTAAAATAATGTACCTTATAAAAGTAATCATTGTTAGTTGTCCCTTGGTTTCCAAGTGGAAAATAGAGCTTTAGCAGCACTTCACTTTGTTCTCTGCAGTCTTTTTACAACCGGCTCCACGACTACCCACAAGCTCTGATTTCCTCCTACATGTTACCCTAGGACGCCCAATCCGTCGTTTTCCATTCTAGGGTATAACGTGTGATGTCACTCAATTCTTTCCTCAGAGTATGTCCAGTCTACTTCTATTTCCTTCTGCATATTTATCGCGTAACGGATTTTTGGCTGCTTCGTTGCCACAGCTCCTTCTTGCTCATCTTTTCTGGAAATCTAATTTTCAGTATCCGGAGAAGATAAGCGTTGATAATGTTTTCAGCAGCCTGTTGGAAATGCGTTTGGTGAAACGTGTGGTAAGTCTCTGAACCATATAGAAGCACTAACTTAATCAACATTACAGTTGAAAATTCGGATCTTGGGTTTTTGTTGTCATGCGTTCTTGACTGCATTCTTATTGGGCTTTGGTAACTCCATCTGTGCCACCTGTAGTTGAAACAATACTGCACTTTCAAGTAAGTGAAACAGGCGATCTCTTATAGAATTTTCCTGTTGATGATGGCTTGTGATAGTTGTTGATTAGGTATCACCGTCATCTTTGACTTGTCCATGTTTGTACAATATTTTGTCTTCGCTGGCTCTTTTTCTAACTTATTAGTTTTCGCTTGTGGGAAATGCGACACAAATCATGTGGGAAATCCAGATCATTTAAGGTCTTTACGTCAGTCCAATGTGTGCTGATAAAGGGGTAACTGCCATTCTATACTGTGTTCGATGACGATGCGTTATGCTGCAATTCGACCTGCGTATGTTTTGTTTTTCCTGAATCCAGAGTGTTCTAGACGGAATTTAGCATTTAGGGCATCTTCTAGTCTCTCTAGGATGATGTGTTTGATATTCAAATATAAAATACCTGTTTATTTATGTTTGGGAATTCATCAGCTCTAAGTAACCGCATTGGTATCCCTATTGAGACCACGATTCAGTAGCATTCCTTTCAAAGGCAGGGGTTTTCTTCCAGGGTGCTATATCTTGATAGTTACAGGTTACTCGATTTGTATGATTTTCTACATTTCTGGTTGTTTATATGTAGGAGTGAATTGATCAATCTGCCATCACATGAGCCTTTAGTACAGATTCCTTGATTTTGATTGTTTTCCCAGTAGAGACTGATAAGCTCAGTTTTAAGAAGTAACCGTTGTTAATTTGTTCAAGTCTCGGTTGGGAATATAAGTTATCACTGGGACACAGATGATGAGCCGCAAATAAGATGAAATAGGTGTCCCACATCCCATAGCTAGTCATCAGCGAATAATTAACTAGAATTTCACAAAGGCAGTGAAGATGTGTTTCTACAATGATTCCAAATACAAGCGAATATTTAATCCTACGTATTATGTTTCGGTTATCATTTTTAGTAGTGTACAAGGGTACTTATCCAGCGCCTTAGTGACGTATTTATGTTTATAAAAGAGGTGCCTAATCTTTATCAACAATGCGTATATGTAGTAAAATGACTATGCATACAATGGTAATAATAATCACTTTATTCCAAACAATAGTATTTATTTTTTATTTTTTTTTCGGTTACAGCTTGATTCCACACCGTATTTTTAGGTACAGGTATGGAATTTTCAGCATGGATATCGGTAGCCCAAATTTACAGGCCGACCATAGATATCGGGTGTGCGCCGGCGGGGGATCGAACCCCAGACCATGTGCATGGTCGGCGAGAGTCCTAACCACTGTGCCACCGATGCACAATAGAATTTTTAGGCATTACGAATTAGGAGGGACTATGAAAACATCCAGTTACCAGGGCAAGGAAAGACTGATAATCGCTTCTTTCTGAAAACATAAATCGGTTTTCAGGTGCCTGATGGAGATTACCTCCGCAAACTTGAGGAGCATTGAACTCATTTGCCTATTGATAATGTGGACGATCTTGCGGTGTCCACCTCATGACTCGTGTCAAGGAGATGCCTGGTGATTGCACTGTTGAAAGCATTTGTTCCCCTGAGAGGTAGTCTTTTTGGCACATATTCAGAAAATGGGAGGTACACCCCCCTTTCTGTTCTCTCAATGTAGCTGCTCTCGCAGATAATTTTCTTGTAAATTTGTATATACAGCTGGCGTTAACATGAGAAGGATATCTGTTAATTTTTGATTGCACTAAAGAGCATGTTTTGTCCGATAAACGGGAACCAACTTAGCTTCAGGATAGGCTCTGGCTAGTGACATATTCAATCTTCTATTGATTATTCCTGCAATATTATCACCTTTAAAATCAAGTTGAATGAAGATAGGCTTTTTCCCCACTATGATTAGTTAAGTTAGTGGTATCTCACATATATGACGTATTGGTTTAGATTAAATGCATTCATATTACTGTATTGACAATAACGATAATAATAATAATTTTTGTTGTTCACCTTTGAAATGCTTCTTGTTCCATCATAACATGTCGTCAACATTACTTTTCAAAGTAAAATGTAAGTCTCTAATTATGTTTATTGCGTTGAATTAAAATTTGTGATCTTAGTGACGCTCACATGTTATATCGTATTTAGGTAATTAACAAGGTATCTGCTAGCATATAAAAGCGTGTTACAACCATGCTTTTAACTCTAACTAAACATGTTTGTTCCTTAGTTAGCATTGTTGAAGGGAAAAGTATCACTTATTATATAAAAACTTACATCCTGATTAAATAAATCAAAAATCGCTAGATATTTCTTTAAACTTACATATGACAGGCATGCCATTCCCAGTTTTCTGGATCTTCTAATGGTCGAAAAACTTCGTTTCCGGCATTTTCAATAATAGATGAAAATCTCATTAGAGTTCGAGTCATCCATGTATAATTATCTAAATAAAATAGTCATTTGATTAGGAAGAAATTAATATTAACTTATGATAAATGAAATCAGTTGATGTCTGTGCAACAAAATGTAATGAAAGTAAGGTATTTATACGAATTTCAATAACTTAGACATGGATGTAAGTAGACTGTTACTATGCCGCCCGTGGAAAACTAGTGCAGTCTTATTTATATCACGCTATGCCTTAATTAATATAAGCATATGATTAGGGCACGGCGGTAGAGTATGATCTCATAATAAAATAATTTTAAGTGTTAGATTTCCTCATGAATCAACATCAGTTAGAGAGATCATTGGAAACCAGGAGTCACCGGACAGCCATTTTGTCCTAACTTGACACTCTTCATCAGTGCACACCCATGACCCAACCACGGATCGAACCTCGGATCTTCACATTACGAGACCAAGTTGACAAGTCAGCCATTTGGGTGGGGATTCAATTATCCTTGAATTCTAACTTTGTCGATTCGTGAAACCTTTGATTAATATCCATTTCACTTTGACATGATGAACCCCATAGGCTACTGTTTCTCAGAATAGCTTCAGGACATCCATTGGGCAGCAATCAAGAAGCTGGCCATTGATGTTTAGATTATGAGATCTATTCAGTGCTCTCTGGATTTCAATCATCTGTTTATCTGATCTTGGTTCACGAAGAAAATTAACAATCGAAATGAATCCAAATCCCTTAATCGGGATAATTTTATTTAAGGTTAGATGCTGCTGCTGCTGGATTCAACATAGAACTTGGCACCGAAGTGCAGCAGTTCGAGTTGCCACGTTCCAAAGAGCACACACAAAGGTAGACAAGAAAATGAGTGAAGAGAATCAATAGAGTTTTGACAAGTATAAGACTGAAACAGAATGAGTAATGGTAGAAAGGAATATGAAGGTTAAAGAGACTGAATACATCTGCGTAAGCCATTGACAACGATTTTGAGCCATGTCACCTATTGTCTCCAGCCATTGATTCTTAGAGTCCCGAGGGCCCCAACCCGGAAGTACTAGACAGCTGTTTCATCCTAGTTTGGGAGTCATCGGCAGTATGCACCCACTGGTGCTCGAACACAGGACCTTCCGGTTACAAGGCAAGCTCGTATACCATACAACCATTGGGACCTGATTCAATAGCCATCCCATGAATTCTATCGTCAATCAATTCGTGATTTTATCGCAATCACCAACCAATGGTCTAAGGTGAAACAAATAGAATCCCTACAAACTAATTTTTGGAAATTAGTCTGACACTCGCTAGTGAATGGCTAAAAGATGAAGTTGTCTGGATTCCTAGTGAGAAGCCATGACCAGTGAGGTCCATCCAGTCAAGTGTAAGGATGGAGTTTCCACCGATGACATTGGTTGATGGTCGCGCTAAAAATCACGAACTGGTAGAAGTTAGAATTCATGGGATGGTCATTGATACTAGATGGTTGGAGGCAATCATCAGGAAGCCTTGGACCTAGGTTTCGTGCTAGTTGGCACTCACTAACGAGCAAGGCGTATCTACAAACTTGAAGGAACTCATATCCCTTCTGGGATTCGAACGCGCGTCACCCAGTGCTGCAGTCAGAGACGCTACCACTGAGCTATTCGGGCACGCGACTGACCTCCTGTAGGACTGTATTGGATATTTTTGATTGAACACTAGTCAGTAACTAGTGTAATGTGTCTAGTCCTATCTTCGGTGCAGAGTGAATCCCATCAGTCATGTTTGCAATGTGGCCACCATGCTACGTGACTCGCCATTACGGTGCACTGTGAATTGTTCGTATTAGATGGTTGGAGGCAATCATTAGGAAGCCTTGGACCTAGGTTTCGTACTAGTTGGCACTCATCAGCAAGGCGTATCTGCAACCTTGAAGGAACTGATGTCTGAGATTCGAACCCACGCAAGCATGACTGATAGAATTCAGTCTGCACCGAAGATAGGACTAGACACATTACACTAGTTACTGACTAGTGTTCAATCAAAAAAAGATGGCCACTGAATCGGATCCCAGTGACTGAATAGTATACGACCTCGCCTTGTAACTGAAAGTTCCTGGGTTCGAAACCCAATGGGTGCGTACTGCCGATGACTCCAAAACTAGGATGAAACAGCTGTCTAGTACTTCCTGTTTTTCAATGGTTCTCTAACTGATATCAATCCGTAATCTAACCTGAAACAAATAGAATCCCTACAAACTAATTCTTGATAATTTTATTTGATAAACATAAATTTCATAGAAAACAGTCATTAGGACATAAAGAAAATCTTTAAAAAAAGGACTCAGCGAAGAGATTCTTTTCAACAGCTTTATTATCAAGCTATACAGTCGTATACACATGATTTTTTCGCTGAATTAATTGTTTTAATTTTGTATGTACATAATTTAAATGAATACTAAACATAACCCAGTTGTGTGTTGTTGTCAGTAAGATGATTATGACTCTGCTTATAAATTGTGCAATAATATTAATAGTAATAATTTTTAAGTAATAATTTCATTAATAACTGATGAAAAATGGTTAGGAAGACCTAACAAAGGTGTTGATACCACCACCCCTTATCATTTTTGTCAACCCTTCACTAGCCTTATTGTATGTTCGTTAAAACTTAGTTTATCTACTTCTCTTATAATCTTGCGTTACGTAATCTTACTATTTGTTTTCCTAATCCCTTATCTACTGCATCTGATAGCATAATCATGCTGTTTTTACAACTCTTATCATAACAAATCAATCCATTTCTCATCATTGGTAACAATGGAATTCTTATTATTTTTATTCTTATTAATTACACAATTTTATCATCCTATTGACAAACCATAATGGCAGTAACATTAGAAAACCCGGTGATTACTAGACAAAACTTGGTTACTTTGATGGCCATCCTATCAACTACATTTACAATGGTTACCAAATATCCCACCGGCGTCAATATTCCTTCAAAAAAGTATGTCCAATCAAATTAGGCGAATGTCCTTGATGCAGCTAGGTATTTTCATTTCTAGTTATGTCAGCGAGACAACATCTTAATTGTAATTGTTCTTTTGGATTTTATAGTTACGCATAAAAGTATCTTCAATAGTCGTAACAATTCTGTTAGGATGACTATATCCTAAGTTATTCCAAATTAAGTTAGAATTAGCTTGTTATGAAAAACAAAACGATAATCTTTTTACTGACGTTTCTCTATTTAATGCCAATAGCTATATCAAAGTATTATTAAACCAGAATTTACAAAATCTCAGCTTATATATAACAACTTAATCATTGTTCATCAGTATGGAGTAATTTTTACATTGTCATATACATCAGAAACGTCAGACGATATCAGAAGAGTACTCAATAAGTACAACATCAGAGTTTTCTTCAAAACATCATACACACTACAAACCAACCCTGTCCATGTAAAAGACCAAATCCCTAAGGATTCTCAATCTGTGTCTACAAAATAAAGTGCTTGGAATGTGATGCGATATACATCGTACAAACATCACGAGGAATCAAAATCAGAGGAAATGAACCCCATAGAGCATTTGTTCGATCACCGAGAAATCCAGTTGGACTAGAAAGCTTAAAAAATCATCAGCTATAGGTCTACACGCTATAGAATCAGATCACAAAATTGATTTTGACAATATTGAAATAATCCAGAAAAATTTCAGAATTCACAAAGAACGTCTAATATCAGAAGCACTTCATATCAAATGGAATCCAAATTGTCTGAATAGGAATGATGGACTAAAACAGAATTTGACCTGGTTACAACACCTCCCTACCCCATGAAATGACAAAATCAACACGAATGTGATAAGCAATTTCATTATGTAAACACATGCTGCTTTTATAATTTTATACACTCATCAAATCCAACAATCTACACCTGGTTTTGTTATCTTTACCAATTGGCCAATTTGACAACGCAAAAATGCCCCCATGCTGATGAACGATGGTTAAGTTGTTATATATAAGCTGAGATTTTGAAAATTCTGGTTTAATAATACTTTGATAAAGCTGTTGGCATTAAATAGAGAAACGTCAGTAAAAACAATATCGTTTTGTTTTTCATTCATTGGGAAATATAAAAACTTTTATAAAAATGAATAGCATATAACCTAATGCCCAAATGTTTTCAAACTGTTAAAAGTGAACTTTGTTTGGACATACATAGAATTAGGTTGTCTTGTATTATTGTGAGTTATGGTGGTTCCTTAATTTATCGTTTGTCTCAGGTACCTAAAATTTCTGGTAAATTCAACTAGTTGTTTATTTCTAGTAGTGAAAATTGTAACCCCAGTTACAATGGAAACAGCATATTCACTAACTAGGTACTATTGTTTGAGTGATGAAAAATGTTTCAGATGAAGTTTCGTGTTTATAACCATATCAGGCTAATTTCGCTGCTTCTAGTAAACTCTTTTTTTTCAGTTTTAATTGTTGTACAAAGTTTTAAATACATAGTTTATGCTGAATCATTTTTTCTTCTTGTATATTTGATTATGTTCAAATCTTGAGTAACGAGTCACCTTGTAACAGCAGATGGCAATACACGGAAGCCAAGGTATATTTTCAAGTGATCAAACTGTTCTGTTTGTATTCTTTAATCAATCACTGAGCTTGTGATTTTGGTTTACATTAAACGACATGAAATAGAATGTTCAAATACATATATATTATTCTGTTGCTAATGCAGTATTGAACTGTGGGAACAGTATTCAGACGTTAACACCATTGTCTGTATCACACCACCACAAGCTTACCATTATAGTCGATAATGATCATTTTGTAAATTCATTTGCAGTATGAATGAAGTTTAGAAATACCTTGATTCACATTTTACATCATCTCAATCTGTCACAACACTAACTAAACAACTTAACCAATTCATTCAGTCATACTGTCCCAATACGATGTCTCCTAGATCTAATGCTCCGATCCACTTGTGTTATTAGATTTTTTCCATTAGCAGATTTTGTCTTGAAGTAAGTTTGTATATCTGCA